ACGAGCATCTTAAACCTGTCGTATGACTGCCTGTGGTGAATAGTCGGCTCAAGTGTTCGGTCCCCCAGGTTTTTAGCTCGCCTTGACATCGTCAAGATGAGCTATTGCCATGGGGTGTCGTCCATCGTACGTCCGTCCGTCCGTCCGTCAGTCCGTCCGTCCGTCCGTCAGTCCGACCAGGTTTGAACGTCCTATTTTGGAGCATGCCAGTCGACCTACTTTTGAGCCACGCCCACTTTTTGGCAAAAATGAAAATGGCCATCTAAATTCATTCGAGTTAAATTTTGGTATGTGAATGTGTAAGGCTAGCCCCAAAACAGTTGTTACTCCTATGGGAGAGATGACAACGTCCTATTACGTTTATTTCGTCTAACTGGTCAACAACTCTACAATCATACCTATATACGTGTAATACTGTGTTTTAGATTCTTCATTACAGTAATTTGACTGGAATATTTTATTGTTTTTATTTTCGCGATATTCGAAAACCAAAATGACGATCATTTAGGCGTAGCGCCATCTCGCGTCAAGATTTCAGACTTTCAGATCTGAAACATTTATTTTCGCATCAAAACTTATGCATATATTATTATCAAGAGTATATAATAGGAGATATCTAATATATATTTGAGTTCGTATGTATGTATGTATGTATGTATCTTTCCTATAGGCGGCCAAACCGCCCAAGCGATCTGGATGCAATTTGCACAGGGCCATCTGTTATACCCGGGGAGTGTTCCTAGATGAAAAAAACCTGTCAAACCGTGAAACTCACCGAAAAATCCGTGAAAAACCCGTTAATTCGTCAATCTTCACACAATTCAGCACTCACTGCACAGTGCTGCCACAGACAGAAAAACCTATGACTATTTCTTGCCCTCACCTCATGATCTCATCAGCTGCTGGTATTGTGAAACCGAAACCGAAATCAATACTAAAACACAGCATAACCAGGACCAGTTCAGAGGTACTACTCACTCTGAGTTCAGAGTTTCAGTTCAGATGCTACGATCTCAGAATGCATTGTACCATTCCAAAGCTATGCATTTTCTGATTCAATACAAATATTTCTTAATTTCAATTTGCATGGTTGCGCGCCAAGCATTCACTAGACAATATCCAGTGGACACAGACTCCACTCGCTGGCCTATCTCTCTATCTATACTATATATGGAATTTCTTTTATTCGTGGTACGATCTCACAATGTATAAGCTGTACGTGGGTAGCTCAACAGTTCGATACGCCAGGAATCTCTACATATTTCCACCAGAGAATAACACGAAAAACATTGTTTATCAAGAGGCTTTGAAATGAAAAGTCCAACCCATTCGTACATGCTGTTATATAATAATAACTTTTTGTTATTTACACCATATTACTATTATGTCCCAGACTCCCATGGGTTCTAAGTTGGGTTGTGCTGTCATATAAATGTCATACGTAACAGTTTTTTCCCATGCTTATTATCTTATTAGACTGATCTCTAAAATATTGATACTGTGTGCAATGTTATGTCGAGTTTTACAATGTTCCTATCTGCTGTTCCCAATTATTGTAGTATGATCAGTAGCCCCACGACTTTTTACCCAGCCGGCAGCGGGTTACCCGCAGCTAGATCTAATATATATTGAGCTTCGTATGTATGTATCTATCCCTATTTAGGCGGCCAAACCGCCCAACGCCGATCTGGATGCCAATTTTCACAGGGGCCATCTCTTACTGACCGCGGCCAGCCAGTGCTTTCGTAGCTGGAAAAAAACCTGTACAACCCGCTCAAACGGCACCAAAAAAATCTTGAAAAAACCCCCTCATCATTGCATCGGGATTGGGGACCACCGAAAGCAATACTTAAAACACACCACAACCAGGGAGGAGGAGTCATTTGCATTTCTCCTAAACCGCACCAGCTGCTGGCTATTGCTGACCTCGAAACCATACTAAAACTAACCCGCAGTCAAACCAGTTCAGCAGAAAGCAGACCAGAGAAACCACGTTGAAGAGGTTTAGGACTGCTAACAGTTACTACTACACCTGAGCGTTAGCCGCGTACACTGTGAGTAAACATTCCTGTTATAATTCAACAATTTCCCCACTCGCTGGCCTGCCATCTGTTAGACAATATCCAGTGGAGCACAGACCCCACACGCTTGGCCTGTCTCTATCTAATAGTAACTATAATGGAATTTCTTTTAATCGTGGTACGATCTCACAATGATATAGCTGCCTACGTGGGGAGCTTCAACATATTTCACTCAGATTGAATAAACACGAAAACATTGTTATGATCAAGGAGACTTTCAAATGAATTAGTCCAACCCGATTCGTACATGCCTGTTATATACTAATAACTTTTGTTATCTTACACCATATTACTATTACTGTCCCAGGGGTTCTGAAGTTGGCGCTTGCTTGCTGTCAGTATAAAATGGTCCATACCTAACCAGCTTTCTTTCCATCGCCTTATCGTATCTATCGACCCTGAATTTCTAAATATTGATAGTTGGTGCTGCAATGTTATTTGTCGGTTTTTACCCAAATTCTCCTATTGCTGTTCCCATTATAGTAGTCCATGATTAGTAGCCACGATTTTACCCAAGCGCAGCGGGTACCCGCAAGCTAGCGTATCACATATAATACACGTATATCCAATAATAAAATTAGTACTGCTATGACGTCTTAGCGAATACTGAAGAATGCTAAGGCAGCATTCAATAAGGCATTCCAAATGA